TGCTCCGGCGAGTATGCTCGCTAGGAGAGCGTGAGCTGCTGGAGACCCCATCATTGCGACGGCGGCCGCGGTCTTGGCGAAAGCTAAGCCTACCTCGGTCGTTGCCGTCTCGACGATCCGGCTCCCGCCGACGATGAGATGGGTTGTGGTCGTCGATATCCTGACTGTGATGTTCCCGATGGGGGGACTGATGGTCGTCATCAACACTTACGAGTCTGGATTCCCCGCGAGATGGGGGTCGACTGTGGTTCTCGTCATCCGCTTCGACGTCGTGCTGAGGGCGCTCGGAGTACGCCTCACGGTCTCGCTGCTCCCAGGCGTCACGGCGCTTCAGTTGGCTTTGTTGCCGTGAACCGAAGTTATCGTGGTCTTCCGTACCACCTTGAGCAGGTGGGACAGTGTCATCTCGGTGTGCTTCCATGACGGCGCCGCTCTCGCTCTGAATCCGAATCCGTGATCCCGGCGCTCGCAGAGCAATGCCGTCGCCGTGACCCAACACCCCAAGCTTGGTCCTGCTCTTGTCCGGCCCTACACCTTGCCCAGCCTCTTTGTCCTGAACTCTGTCGGCCCGCTCCAGGCGCGCAACGAGCTCGTTCCTGTTTCCGGCGTCATTCAGTCCGCGTCTCTTCAACATCTCCTTCAGACCTGGCACGGTCACCATGTCATATCCCAGTCCCAATGTACGAATGGACGGTGTGCTCCCATGCTCGCCGACATCCCAGGGCGTCCCCCGGTTTATTGGCTGCACGTTCAACGTTCGGTCTCTCGGCGCCCTCCAGCTACTGCCATGTCCTCCCATCCGCTCGCCGTGCACCCCGCTACCAAGAACACCCTACACTTGCGTCTGGGCGTCCCCTTCAGCAAGTATCGAGAAATTCCCAGTAGGAGGCGCAGAGCGAGCGAAGGGAGCGAAGTTGGCTGAGTTTCTGGCATCACTAGGAAAGAGCGATGCGAAATAAAATTAGAGACCGAAAAAATAGGTTTGGTCTGATTTGGAAGCCTGGGAACTGCGCGACACAGCTAGTGTCCGTATGTAGTTTCGATAAGACGGCCAGGACGAAATAATGGCCGCTGTTGCGGGCTAAAGATTGCTCATGCTCCCGGGCGGTTTCGAAAACCGGTTGAGCATGAGAGGGCGTGCCGCGATAATTGCAGATTGTGGGTGTGCTGCCAATGTCGGTGTTAAATGTTGCAACGCGAGGACTGAGCCGGTTCGAGTCGAGGATGAGATGTGGTGATGGTGTACGTGTGAGAAGAGCTGGCGCCGACAGAAGACGGGTACCGATTGAGGCACGGAGGAGTCGCTGGTAGAAGCTCTGAAAGAGATTGTCGGGAAGAGTGGCTCGAGAAAAGCTAGCGCCGACAGACGAGAGGCATGGGGGAGTGTCTGGCAGAAATTCTGAAAGAGATTGTTGGGAGGAGTGGCCTGAGACTACTGTTCGTGGGCTGGAGGAATTGTTGAATGCGGATGATCGTTAGAGAGTGCAACGGTGATCTGGAGAAGACCGTTGCGAATGGGTGCTTTTCTAGTATTAGAGTGGTGGGTAGCGGTCACGATGCCAGAAGGGGGGTCGAGGTTGGAGATTTTGGATCATCACTTCGGAAGTCGATAGAATGGGCGAGTCCGCTGGATCGAGCCACTGACTGCTGTGCCCATGCCGCTGCATGATGCTGGTCGAAACAGAGCAGGCTCCGGTGGTACGGCCCTCGTCGCGATCTGAGTTGCATTTGCGCATGGCGGTGGTAAGGTTGCGGTTGTTGGCTCCTTGCCGCGCTGAAGAAACCGACAGACAATGGTAGCGGGGGCTCTCTCGACGGGGTTGAAGAAACATGCCCCGCAATCGCTGTGTGATGGATGGCGGCCAACGTTGTTCTTCGCAAAATTGTTCGCGTCCGAAGACGTTGAGAAGTGGGAAGAACGTTGCGGTGGGTGAAGGTTGGTACCAGTGAAGAGGAAGAGCTGGCGATTCTGAGAGGCTGCTCTGCCTTGTTGGCGGGCTTTCAAGGAAGATGAAGTAGAATGAATGAAGAAGGGCTCATTCGCTGCATCGTCAAGCCAAGGGCGTTCCCTCCCATAGCCATAAGACGCACCCGATCCACAAGCGTGCACTCATGCGGACCGGGCAAGGGTAAACGAGCCATGACGGAGAGGAGAGGAAGAGAAAGGCAAAAGAGACAGACTGCGCATGCTGGCTCTTATACCCACAAGTCAGGCCCAACTAGCTTGTGGACTTGGCAGAACTGGTGTTCGGTGGTGTGTATGCATGTCTTGGACTTGAGCGCTCGAGGGCATTCGAGTCCTACCGGCGAGTCGTTCTCCAGGAGCTCCAAGCCGTTTCGTACACGGCCGAGGAGCATTTTATGGGAGACTGCGAGAGCTGTAAGCGCTTCTATCGTTGTTCATGCCAGTTTCTCCAACTGTTGGCCGTGTTCCGCGTTCAAATGCGATGTGTGTGGAGGCGTCCAGATGAGGGTGTGGACTAGCCACAATAGTCATGGTCACGTGTGCACGCGCAGCCCAGGCGAACTTCGGATGTCCCCCGGGCCAGCGCGAATCTGTTTTCGCGTCCCTTTCACCTTCACACCCACCATCATCGAATACCACGCCACTCTCCCCCCGTCCGCATCTCCGTTCATGGCGCCAGCATCAATGTCGGGCTCCAGAATGCCACGCACGTCATCGCGCTGCATGCGGCCGTCGCCTTTGTTTGCTCACTTTTCTTTGTGCGACACGCTAATCAGTCCGCCGCCGCTATCGCTGGACAGAGTCGCATCCTCGCTCCATTCACGACCACCAAATGCCGCCCAAAACGCCCGTTGGGAGGCCCTCGCCGGGACGGGCATACGATGAGCCCTCAGGAAGTTTACGTCGGCGCCCTCGCCCATGGTCCCAGCAACCCCTTCTCCGCCGCCTCGCGCTACTCCACGCCCGGCACTGGCGCCGAAACTACCTCCTCGCAACCGGCCTTCTCCTCATCGTCTCCATTTCCACCTTCCTCCTCGCGAACCTCTTCAACTACCGCGACCGACCCCCGCTCCTGCCCCCCTCCGTCTATCGCGAACTTGGCATCAACCACACCTGCACGCCGACCTGGCTCTTCTACCCAGACTACTTTGCCGTCCTCCAGCTCCCTGCTCCCCCGAAGCTCCTCCCCGAGCTACTGCCGCCAAAGAGAACCGTGCACCGAGCATATAAAAGGACAGTGACGTGCTGGGACCCGAGCAAGTGGAGTCGACATCCTGGACTCAGCAGGAGCGATCTTGAGCTGGTCAATACGTTGATGAAGGATAGCGCGGATAAGCTGGCTCTTGGAGAGGACTACCCCAGAGTTGTTCGCGAGTCGCTGATGACACATCGAGATCACGAGCGCCGGAAAGCGGAGCGGCGTAACGACCGCCTAACGCCGACCGAATACTGGAATACTACGGTGAAGACCTCGCTGCCGTCCTTCGCGCCTCAATGCCGATATGAGTGTGGATTTGGCGAAGCGGTGTCGCGGTTTTGGAAAGAGATGTGGACGCCGTACTGGAGGCTCCCCAAAGACATCAAGAGCGCCGCCGAGCTAGGGGGCTATTGTCCGCCGTGCAGTTTTAAGAGAGCGACGGTATCGTGGTCGCGCTTTCAGAGGAAAGAGGAGCTGCTGCCTCCTGTCACTCATTTGTTCTGGTACAGCAACGAAGTGCAGAGCGCCGCGGCACAGAGCTTGATGTGGGCGTGGCTGCTATACTGGGCACGTCGGGATACGAACTTCATTACGGTAGACACGATGAGGTGTGAGATGCGCAGCACGGAGAGAATTAACGGTGTTAAGGATGGGTGGTTTACAATCAACGTGTGGGACTTCTGTGCGGATAGGGAGGATGACGAGGACTTGGCTGGCTGGAGAGAGTTCGTGGATTTGGTTAAGCAGGATGAGGAGGACCTGGATCAGTGGAATGCGCACAGAGTTAGGGACGCGGGGCTTGAGAGCCCGTGGCTCCGGCGGCTCTGGCCAGCTGGTTAAACGTGCTGACGTGTTGCGCGGCAGGACATTATCATCAATGCATATCCTATGCCATCCAGATTGCTCGGATTAAGGTATATCCTGCTCACTGCTGATGCCGTTCTGGAGCCCCTTTTCCGCTGGCACAGTAAGGTGTCCAAGCATGTTTCGATAATAGAGTAGAGATAGAGGAGGATTTTATTTGGTAGATGTTTGGAGATTAAAGGACCCTGGGATACAGCTTTGGTAGGGGAATGAGAGTATGGCGGCGACCTGGGGACGCTTGGGTACGTGCATGTGTATTAGCACCCAAAACGTCCTGACGGCGTCGTCAAAGAACTGCAGAATGGCAAGAACATCAAATTCAGTCTAGGCTTCCTCGTTAACGCTCCCTCCTGTCTTTCTGCCCTTGTGCCGCTGCGTATCTGCAAATGGCACCCGCCGGTGTCACAGTGCTCGAATTCTGGGAGGTTGTGAGCATCCAAGTTCCAAAGTTACCTAAATAGGGGCCCCAGCTTTCCCCCTGATATAGGGGGGAGCGTTACCGTACTGAGGGTATTGGTTACCTGCCAACATCCTAATCCGTGGAAATACAAGCCACTATTGGTAACCCGCGAGAAGTACTCGAACCATGTGCACGGCATGAAGGCAGCTAAAGCTCACTAGCTGCTCTCCGGACATGGGGACGCCATCAAGTGATTACCGCACTGATGGGATCTAGTTCTGAATGAATGAGACCGGCCAATCCAGGGGCATCGGCTGCTGACTCTGCGTAGGCCAGCCATCAGCCTGCGTCGTAGGCACCGTGTCTGAGCAGTCCCAAGAACTGTGTGAATGGTCCCTTACCAGCGGAGACCAGACCCCAGATATGATCACCGATCTAGATAAAGAGTCACACTTCCCTAGAACTGTTCTTGTCTGCTCAATTACTAGTACGGAAGTCAAGTGTGGCCGCCAAAACTAATTCATTTCATAACGCGAGAATATTACCATACAGGCGCAGTAAGTGCGCTAAGGCTGAAAACCTCCGAGCGTACATTGGCCACAATCACTGCCGACGAGTTATTTTTTGATTTTGGCGCTTGCAGGATTGGAGGCGCACAGTCGGTGGTGCAGGAGTCGCACATCTCCACCAGGTGCCAGGCAAATTCCTTGACACACCGTGCATTCAGCTGATAACCCTTGATTGTGTAGCAACCCCACTTCCGCAAATGGGTCACCGCATGAGGTCAGGCAAATTCGAGGATTCGCCGCATGTCCAGCTGATAGGCATCGTGCGATTGTGTACTGCGCCCTCATTTCGGCGCCCTAGAGTCACGCCCCAGCGTTCGAGGAGAGTTGTGCCAAATGAAACACCAAAGCAATTGTTTGGCTAGTGTCTTGAAGATCCCGCCATGCATTATCATGGGACTCTAACCCTCGCACGCAAGATCACTCACCATCTCCTTCCGTGTTGGCGGGTTGTCGAAGTGATCGAGGAGGCTGCCATGCGCAGCTCGGTTAGTTTGTGGCTACAAGGCTGGCGGTGTGAACATTTCCTGCTAGATGAAGGGGCGCTGCATTAAGAAGTCGAAATGCTGCCCCAGCCGAGTGTCCTCAGGCCTCAGCCTTGCCTCTTCGCAGGTGCAGACCGTGGTGCGAGTCGCTGTGTCGCGTTTCTCATTTCCAGCTTGGTGGTAAGCTGTTCCCCGTCCTCAACATTAAGAGTGTCGCTCACTCGCTATACCCAAGCTTTTTGTAGAGAGTATAGTCCAAATACACTAGAGCCCTCCTCGATTACAGACTGCCACGATGTTGGGGGTTACTCGCGCGTCGCTTCGATGAATTTTATCCCGATCCCTCCAAGTAACGAATGCCGAATTCAGGACACGAGAGATACAGTTCATAATGTCTGTAGCAAAGGAGCAGGAGTCTGAGAAGAAAGGGCCGGAGTCTAAGGAGAAAGGGCCAGAGCCCGAGAAGCAAGACCCAAAGCCGGAGAAGAAAGAGTTGAGGTCCAAGAAGAAAAGGCCAGATCTGTATGGCCTACCAATGGAGGACTTCATCGAGAAGAACGACCGTAATCGGTTCAACTGGAAGGAAGCATCCAAGCTCAAGATGTCTCCGAACTCTACCTTGGAGCGTAAGCTACATAATCACGCTAGAATCGTTCCGGACAATGAGTCTATACGGTCGCCTTTGGTAAAAGGCAATACACTCGGCAAGTCATCCGGCACAAGGGTATACGAGTGTTGGTATGATCAGGATAAGCCGGCTTACCCGAGGAAACTCGCACTGAAGATATTCGACTATGGAAGAGCCGAGATACCCTTGGAGAATGCGCTCGTCGAGGTCGGGATTATGGAGCAAATAAATCACTGCCACGTTGTGTCATACGTCGCTTCATATGACATGGTGTACTCGGATAAGACCGACAATACCCTCGGCATCGTAATGTATCCCGCAGGGACTGATCTGCGCAAAATCCTCGATGAGATCACCAAGCAGCTCAAGGAAACCAAGGAAGCGCCCGACCGGCTCCGAGACGAACATCAGGATCACATCCGGTCGTTTTTTGGGTTCTTTGCTTGTCTGAGCAAGACACTTGAATATCTTCACAGTGCTAAGACCAACGTCAAGCACAAGGATATTAAACCCGACAACATCATCGTTGACGAGTTTTCTCAACCACTCATCACGGACTTTGGCATCTCCAAACGTTACCCTCGCGCGGGTGAGGAGGTGACGTCGGGTGGCCAGAAATACACCCCTCGATACGTAGCCCCAGAAGTTGTGAACAAAAGCCAGATGACCGGCTACGAGTCGGACGTCTTTTCCCTCGGGTGCGTATTCTTGGAAATGGCAACCCTCATCCTCGGCATACCACTTGGAGCTCTCTACAAGCATATAAACATGGAGAAGCCCCAGTACTATCGTAAAATCAGTTTGCTCCAAGTTTGGATCGAGTCAAATCTTCCCAAAAGTAACTCCTGGGAGCGGTCCGGATTGGCTCGAGACGAACGTGACGCCATCTGCAAGGTACTCCCTATCATCGGCAAGATGGTAGAAGCGAACCCAGACGACAGACCAAAGTCTCATGATTTATGGCAGCATTTCAAGAGCCTTTATCTCTACACGAAGAGCAAAATTGCATGCCATTCGTGCGAGATTCAGACCGAAGCGCTTAAATTCCCACAGGACATCGAGAAGGATATCGAAACGCTCCCCGCACCCAACATTGAAGACGATATAGAGCCCAGTGGTGAACCAGAATCTCCCGACGTGGCAGGTCATCTTGGAGGAGAAGAGGAAGTGGCCCGCGATACGGCACCGCCACCCCCAACGGACCAGAGAATCCCCGAACCGGAGGAGGCCAGTCCTCAACGCGTCACACCTCTGCCCCCGACGGTCGGAAAAGGAGTTCGCTTCGAGGAATATGAAAACGCAGCCGATGTACGACAACAGCTTTCTACAGACGGCACAAGCCCTCTACATGAAGACGGAAGACCCGCGACCGCAACACCGCCGTTGACGGACACGGAGGACGACATGGGCGACAAGAAAGCAAGCCACGCAACCCGGGCCAAAGAATCACAGTCCAAAGCGATGCGTCGCGCCCCAACCTGGGTGGTGGCGAATAGCGCGAAGAATATTTCACACAAAAGTATACTGGTACTCGACCGCGACGAGTCCCATCCGCAGCGCATGAAAATTTCAGTCGGCAGCACGAAGATGTTCGAGGGTGAGTGTAGTCCTACCCTGTAGTCGCCACTACTGAGCCGGTTGGCAGGCAAGAAACCAGAGTTCATACCGATCAGACACATGGTCGTCAAGATCCCGACCGCTTCTGGAACACAGGGTTCAGAGGGCGAGGGTGGACTTGAAGGCGCCGTGAAGGTTACTTGGAGGCAAGGCTTTGGGGTCTGGTGGAGGGCGAAGTTCGGGCGGAACAGGAACGTTTATGTCCGGAGGAGAACGGTCGACGATGATGGGGCATTGCATGATTTATGATAGCTGGGGGTGTCACTCGCTGTATATCTTTCTTTGCGCTTGTAACTGGGGTAATGGAGTGATCTACTTCAGTGATGATGACGGCTGCGATGACGGCGTTCCTCACCGAGAAAGGCGCACGGCATGTAATATGAAACTCGATCCCTCATATGCTGCTAAGAAACTAGAATACAGTGGGAAATCTATGACTCGTCAAACTTCTGGCTGTCGTCGAGTTCTGCCTCAACCTCGTCAATGGTGGAAGGATCTGGATAATCGTATCCATGCTTCCGGATCCAGTGCCTGAGAAGAGACTGCCTGTCCTCAAACTTCTTATCCGTGCACCCAGGCTTGCTGCAGGTGTATGTTACCCCAAGAGCAAAAGATTCCCACGCAGGAGTGATAGCCCGCTCCTTGCGCCTCCTGACCAAGTCCCGCGCCATCTGTCCGATCCTTTCCCTCGTCTCCTTCAATTCATGTATTGTTTCCTTGGAGTCTTTTCGGAGTTCGACCAACGGCTTTGTGCCCTGTGCCTTGTCATTGAATAGGGCTGGCACCTTTATCCGGCAGTATCGATCGTCAACACCCCCCATCAACAGGTGTATTCGTTCGTCGACCTTTTCGGTAGTGCGAGCTAGCGCTTTGATGAGAGGATCCCGGGCCTTGTTGTGGTTCTTCGATTCAACACCTATACTCAAAATCGTCCCAACCCCGAATGGCCTTATTGCTTCGCTCCGCTCAAAGCGTTCTACTTCGTGGAAAATCTCAACCGTTGGATTTCGGGCATACGTCGAGGCATCTACATAGCCGTCTTCGTCGATCTCGAACGGCTTGGAAGGGGGGGCCATGATGGCTTTGGCGACATTCTCGACAGAAAGACTGTTCTTGAGACTCATGCTTGTGGGAGTCCGCCGCAGAGATAGCTGTGGTTTGGTACTGTACGAACGGAACACGTATGGTCTGGCAAAACTACCATCTATTCGTAACGCTATGGCGATTCTGCGACTCGGATTAGCTTCCACATACCAGTGGTGAAGGGAACCTAACGTTTTACAACGCGAAGAGCTTGACTTGAAATATGCCTTTTCGCTACTCCCTTTTGCGCCTGCAGTATCGGGGTGCTGAAGTGCACGGCTGTTCGTGGGTGAGGCTGGAGGAGACCTGGGTGTCTGGGAACGCTCCGAGAGGATCTGGTCGAAGGTTGCGTCGTATCGCGCCTTTGACCACGCCTTTTTGGGCTTCGGGAACGGGATCAGGGAGACAAAAGGGTTCTTCGATTCGGGCTCAGCATTGAGCTGCTCGAGCCACTTCCAGCAAGCCTTGACGTCCATGCGAAGCCTCCCGAGCATTATCGCCAGCAGCCTGGTTCATGTGAGTAAGCGCTGCAGTCTTCAGAGGACCTCGACCCTACCCTCCAGTACTTGTTCCGCCGATGAAGTCAAAGTAGTGACTGGGAAGATACCCCCATTTTGCTACAGAAGCGCGATCGGACTTTCCAAGCCGTGGTGAATCGGCGCTACATCGCGAATCAGGATCCAGGCGCTTTTCTTCCACTTCGATAGCTTCCATCAGAAGTTCCAGAACGACCAATGTAGACAAACCACGAATGCCTTCCCCATCGAGAGTTAGTAACAGCGTCCCGTCCCACGGCGTTGACGTATGGCTCCGTTCCTCACGCAACCCAGGTTCGGCCTCCCTCACCTCGACTTCATCCCGAAATCTAACCCCGCCTTTTCTCCGACTCAGGTTAGACAGGGTTCGACGCCAGGTAGGTGCGAAAGTAGGAGCATGAACTTCAGGGCGTGCGATAGCGGCCAGGCTGTCGTACTGCCGCGTTGGTAAAGATGCGATGGACGAGCGCCCGAAGCTGTCCTCGTTTCGCAACGACGGGGAAAGCGACGGTTGGTATGCAATATCGGTTGACATTTGGACTCGATGTAGCGGTTTCTGCGCAGGCGTAGAGACCAGAACTTAAGCTGTCTCGACGTGCACCTTGGGCAGCGAAGCAAGGGCAGACGTCAAGGTGGCATGTTCGGGTCAGCAGAGCGGCAGTCGGGGACACGCCTTCGACATTTCTCAGCCTGATGGGACAAGGCTGAGCGGCGGCGCGTCATCCGGACTTGGACGGATCCGGTGGCGGACGAATATTGACAGCAAATGCAGGCAGCCACAGCGCGTGACGCCAGCGAATGAATGCAGTAAGCCCCACGCAGACGGGACCGCATCGAGTCGCACGTGTGACCGCAGGTAATCAACACAGCCTTCAGTGTTGCAACAGGTTTTGAAACGAGTAGCTAGTTTTAGCAAGCCGAAGTTTCAGCCTGATGTCTTTTCAACCACATATATTCGGACGAGCTTTGGGTTGGAATCTTTCTCCTTTGCCTACCTTAATGAGCGTCTTCTCCGCTTAAAAATTTCAGCATGGCCGTCGACCCACTAAGCATTGCGGGGGCTGCGATAGGAGCCACGGGCTTAGCCTTCCAACTTTTCGACGAGGCTGTCAAGGGTACATACCACACCATCTTCTGCGGAGCAAGACACGACACTAATTCGGATCAGCCTTCAATTTCATTAATGCATATGTGGATATGCCGGAAAGCTGCGAGAAGTTTCGTGTGATGCTCAGTATCGAGCATCATAAATTGCTGGCTTGGGCCAAGGCCGCCGGGCTGATCGAAACAGAGAAGAGACAGAAAATCTCAGTCAGTTTGGGCGCAAACCCTGTAGAGCTAATGGATGTCGTGGACCGTATCAAGATCATACTGAACGATTTCATCGAGTACAATGCGCGGTACACCGAGCTACACCCCGAAAGAAGCACCACTGCCCAGCAGCAAGAGGCAGCAAGGACTGTGGCTCAGTCGAGAGACTTTGCGGAGGAAGTCACCAGTCTGACGATTTCTTACGAGAAGACGAAGGAGAAGGGTCGGGGCTTCCATTCCAGATGGCACGACGGCGTTCAAGCCGTGAGGAACAGCTTCAAAAACCCCCTCAAACGCGTTCGCTGGGTAATGAAAGACGAGGCGGAATATGAGGGGCTGCTAAAGGACCTCAACTTCTACACCGAGCGCCTGCGCCAAATGATGGATGACTATCACTCCCACGAGATGCTCAGTTCCGTGAACAAGTCGTACCTGGAAATCGTTCAGACACGAAAACTGACGCAGGAAGTAAAGCGACTGTTCGAAGCTTCTCGGGTTCTTCTGGACTATTCCTCGCAACCGAGTGCCCAGTCGTCTTCCGGGTGGCAGCAAGATACCTTGAGAGACTTGGCCCGTTTGCGGTATCTTAACGTTCCCGCAGAGGAACTTGACACCTCCGAGCTAGAGAACATGTACACTGACTTCGAGAGGCTTACCATACAGCCATACCAAGTTGGAAGCCAGAAACCCATGGCAGACCTCACAGTTGGGGGATCAACGAAAGTGGTGTGGATTGAGTGGAAGCCATACAAGGAGGAATGGCTCAGCGACGAAGACGAGCGCATGCAGATCCACCCTGCAACGGTCAAGAGAACGGCAGCTATGGCCAAAATGCTAGGCCTTCCTAAACCGAAGCAATTCTCGACCCCAAACTGTATCGGATTCTTCGACGACAGGAAACGCAAAATCAGCAGCGAAAACGGAATCGATCAATTCGGCTGGATCTTCGAGGTGCCCGCTTCCACAAAGAGCCTCGCTAGCCTGTTCGACATCCTCTCCGATGCGGACCGTCCTCGTCCCTCGCTCAATACTCGTATCGCACTCGCAAGCGACCTAGCATCGAGCGTCCTGTACATGCACGCCGTCAACTGGCTACACAAGGCCATCCGCAGCTCCAACGTCGTCATTCCGGTTGATGAAAATGGCAACCTTGATTACTCCCGACGTATCCTCTCCGGATTCGAATACTCACGACCAGACTCAAGCGATCACACGACCGAATCGGGTCCGCCGAGTGTGACTACCGACATGTACCGCTGGCCCAGCGTGCAAGGAGATCACCCCCGGGACGGCGCCAACCGCTCCCGCAAGACGTACGACGTCTACTCCCTCGGGTTACTGCTACTCGAAATCGCGTATTGGGAGCCACTGCATCGGATTCTCAAGATGGTGGACTACCCCAATATTGGCTGGGATAAGGCGGAGGACGTTAGGGAAACGCTTCTTGAGACCGAGGCAAGTCTGCTGGCGCAGTTGAAGATGAGTGTCGGCGAGAAGTACCATGGAGTCGTGAAGAAATGCATTGTGGCGCACGGACAGGACGCTTTTGGGGTTGAGGAGGACGAAGATCAAGAGGGCGGCGCTATTGGGTGGAAGCTGCAAGAGGCGTTCATGGACGGCGTGGTGAATGAGCTACAGGCTATCAAGCTCTAGGTGCAAAGCCCCGAGGGTACGCTAGAGAGTGCGGGTGGGGGTCGCGAATAAGTTAACGAATAACGGACTGATGACTTTTTACTGATATGTTTCGCGTTGGAGTGATAACGAAAATGCCATCTTCTCCTTACTGCCAGCTCATTACCACAGGGAATGGGCCGTCAGTCCTCGTTTCGCGTATGCAACCGCGTGAGGGCGTTGAGATCGGCGCAGGAGGAGCCACGTGTGCATCGTACCTTCCCCATGAGAATGAGGGTCCACCGATCCTCGCAGCGACCCTGACAGTTACGACTTGTCGCCTTTATCGCAATTAGATAGAACTTTAACTTAGCATTTTTAAAAGTAAAAGTTTCTAATAAAAGCTAGAGTAACGTACTTCACGGGCGAACCCCCCACACGGGCGAACCCCCCAAAAATGCCAAGCCCTCACCAAATGCCACCATCTCTATCATGAAGCCCTCCACAAACGCCTAATCGACTTTAGACGAATCCTAGATACAGCTTGCGCTCTAGGCTATTTAACAGGACCTAGAGCTAAGCTTACGGCGCGCTGTAGCTCTCTATAACGTACTGTAAGAGAAAGTCCGCAGTCGACGCGACGGAGTCGCTCCACGACGCGAAAAGACACCTAATTTAACAAGGCTTACAAAGAACGAAGAGCAGGTAATAGTTAAGTATATACTTAACCTAGACACGCAAGAATTTGCCCTCTAGCTTGCTACTATTTAAGATATAGCTAATAAGCTACTTACTAAGTAGAGTAAGAAGATAGTAGGTATAAACTAGCTAAACACCTTTATTATATACTATTCTAAGCTTAAAATATAACTTAATTATAAGTATAACTATTAGAAAGTAAAGTAAGAAGATTCTATAATTATTTAGATATAGTTTAATCTAGTAGATAATATAAAGATAAAGTATAACGTACTTTATAAGTAAACTAACTATATAAGTAAGCTAACTACTTTTACTAAGCTTTTACTAAAAATTATTCTCTTATAAAGCTAGAATATAGCTTACTCTCTCTACTCTCTAGACTAGCTAAATCTAGAATAAATAACGCGCTATAGCTATATATAGAGTCTACTAATTAATACTAAAAAACTAACGTAATAGAGTAACTTAAAGATCTAAAAAGATATCTAATTTAATAAAGCTTACTATAAATAAAGAGTAGGTAATAATTAACTATATACTTAACCTAGACGCGTAAGAATTTACTCTCTAGCTTACTACTATTTAAGATATAGCTAATTAGCTACTTACTAAGTAAAGAGAAAAGGTTATAGGTAAGAACTAGCTAAATAACTTTATTAAGTACTATTCTAAGCTTAAAATATAGCTTAATTATAAGTATAACTATTAGAGAGTAAAGTAAGAAGATTTTATAATTATTTAGGCGTAGTTTAATCTAGTAGATAATATAAAGGTAAAATATAGTATTACTAATAAAGATATATATAACTTTAATAAATCTAGCTTTATAATAGAAATAATATTATCTTAGATAGTAGTTACTAGCTCTAAGAAATAATCGCGACTAAAGAGTCTTTAACTAGGTAATTATAAGTAGATTTTAGTAATTATAATAGTAAGAGTAGTAGATAATATATAGATTCTACTATTTCTTATTATTATAAATAAGAACTACCTCTTAGCGTAGTATAAGAGTAGCTAGCTACTATATAACTAGATTATAGCTATCTTTAAAAGTAGCTAGATAATAAATAAAGTTAGTATTATATAGTTAAAGTACTTTAACGCGTATACTAAGAGTTATATTATAGACGTATATTATCTACTAATTTTAGATAGCTATAAAAGCTATAGCTCTCTATATACTAGTATATTTATTATATTTTTTATAGCTACTTAATATTAGCTACTTCTTACTATTAAAGGTAGTATATAGCTACTAAGTTAAGATTCTAATATATAGCTATATTAACTATATTATAAAAACTAAGTTTCTACTTATATTTTATATAGCTTTTTATATATTAATTATAAATAATAATATTAAAGTAGAATTTAAAGACGCTAGCTTAGTTCTATTTAATCTAGATTTAGTAGTATTAAAGCTTAAAGTTTAATTACGTACGCTAATACTCTCTACTAATAATACTACTACCTAGAAGTATAAAATACCTAGTAATTCTACTAAATTAAAGTTATAATTAACTCTAATTTAAAGAAAAATTATATAGTATTTTAATTTATTACTAACTTATATAATTAAGTTACTTAATTAGCTTAAAAAAGGTAATAAGCTAATAGTATATTAGCTAGTACTTATAAAGTCTAAAGTTACCTAGCTTTAAGTAGCTAACGTATAGAAAAAGAAGTATAATTTACGTAAAAGAAAGTAAATTTAGAAAGAGAATACTCTTATAATTAAAGCTAGCTTATAGCTAGTTACTTAAAAAGAAGTTATAAATTAGAATAAAAGTAAGAAGTAGCGCGAAGAGGTAGTAGTATATAATATATAAGAGCTAGCTCTATAGTCTCTACTACTATAAGCGTTTCTAAATACCTAGCTAGATAAGTTAGCTATAAGTAGTACTATCTCTATAAGCTATAAGAATAAGAGATACTAGTAGAGTAGGTTAGGTTAAATTTAGCTATCTAAAGGTAAGAAGTAAAAGAATACTCTAAAAGGCTCTATATATAGAGGTGCTAAGCGCTAAAACGCTAGGCTAGATTACGTAATAAAGTTACGTAACCTAAGGTTATATAACTAAGGTAAATCTCTAAACTAGACTATTATATTACCTTCTCTTATAGAAAGAGCTTGTCTCTAAGCTCTAAAATACGTCTTCTAGATCTTTCTTCTTCTAAAACTTCTACGTTATACTCTTAACTATCTTTTTTAGCTTATAGTAAGTATATTTATATTAGTTTTAAACTAGAAGCGCTTTTATAGCTACTACCTTCTCTCTAGTTACTTTATTCTCTATAGAGCTCTTGTCTACTAGAGAGAAAGAGGCTTATAGAGATTTAAACTAGAAGACTTATTTCTACGTCTATAGAGTAGCTTTATTATAGACTCTCTTCTTAAATAATACTATAAGCTTAGTAGAGTTTTAAATTACTTAGTAGTATCTTTACGTTACTCTTATATCTTCTACTCTTATAAGTTTTAAATTCTCTACTATCTTCTTTAGAGTCTTCTCTTTTTTATACGCTTTAATTTAAGTATTTAATTATAATAGTAGCTCTAGCTTATCTAGGTATACTATATAAAAGTCTCTTATCTTATAGAAAGTATTAATAAAGCCTATAGTATTATACTAGATAGAGTTAGAGTTATAAGCTATCTATATAGCATAGTATTAAAAATAATTTTAATAAAGATAGCTATCTAGAATTTTATATACAAGCTATTCTAGATTACTATTAACTTTAATAGATAGCTACTTAGACTCTACCTACTCTAGCAATAGCTCTAAGACTTTACTTAGCTAATTAGTATAAAAGATATTATATATATATACGTAGATAGCTAGAGCTAAAAGAAGTAACTCTTTATAGTAATAATTAGGTAAAAGCTATATATCTATTAATTAAGCTTTATACTTAGCTAATCTATTAAAAAGCTATAAGATTTAATATAGATAAGGTTATCTATAGTAAAATTAGATTCTTAGCGCTTTTTATTTACTTAAAGCATCTACCTAGCTTACGCTTTTGCAATATTACTTTATATAATTTTAGTAGCTTTTTCTATAGCGTTATATTACTTTTTAGTAAAATTCTAAGCTTTTTAGCGTAAGAGATACTTACGTAGAGTAGAGGCTTTTATTATATACTTCTTCTAATTCTAGTAGTATATTAGCTAGTATCTAAATTTAATTTTATACGCTATTAGTTCTATAGTTTTATATAGTAACGTAGCTTATACCTAGTCTATATAAGATAGAAGGTCTAACTAATTATTCTAGTAGTAGTTAATAAATAAATATAGATACTAATTAAAATATTAATTAATAATCTCTATATTTCTATTAGTTTATAGATAGTATATAGTAGAAAGCTTCTACTTAATTTCTATAAGCTAGTAGAGCTTATCTATAAAAGTAGAGGTAAACTATAGACTATAATCTAATATAATAAACCTAGAAGAACTATATATACGCTAGATATATTAATAATATAGCTTTACTATACGTTAAGCTATAATTTTCTTATAGTAGAGTAGAGAGAAACTCTACTTACTTAGCTAATTTATAATAACGTATATATAATTAAGTTCTCTTTTATTAGAGAAAAAGCTCTTAAAATCTATAAAGACGTTCTACTATACTCTTTTAGAAATAGATAGAGGCTTTAGAAGACCTAGCGTTTTATTACGTAAAGTATAGCTCTAGTAGTAAGCCTTATATACTACTATATACGTATTAATATCTTCTTATATATCTAGCTAGTAATATTAATCTTATAGTAACTAGGTAGTCTTCTAGTACTCTAGATAGATAGTTATCTAAGTAGTATATATAGCGCGTATTAAATACGCTTATAGGTAGTTAATAGTAGAGACTATTAATTAATTCTAATATATTAGTAAGCTAGCTTCTATTTTCTAGATAGAGCCTAATATAGTATCTTTCTCTTAAGCTAGCTATAGAGATTTATTTAATTAATTAGTAGTAATAATCTAGTTAATTATAGTATAGAGATTCTCTATAGAAGGTGTTTTTATAAAGGTATTAGCAAACGTAATTTTCGTAACGCTACTTGCTAGCCTCTTAGTAGCTAGAGTAGCTAGCTTATCTAAAATTTACTTAATAGTAGAGAGGCTAATTTATTTCTTACTTAGAAAAGCTCTTATATAAGTAGTATAATTCTTCTTCTTTTAAGTTTTAAGTTCTTTCTACTTTTATAATAACGCGTTAGCTACTATATTAGCTAATCTAGATTAATAGATAAGCTTAAGATTATAGTTAGTAATATTATTAGTCTAGTAAACCTACCTAATAGTAAGTTCTTACTTAGTTATAAAGTACTCTAGAGCTTAATAGTTAGTTAATACTATAAATAGTTCTAGATCTTAT